CATGGAGCATCACTTTTGAGAAGTATTTGAGTGTACATTGAGTGCTTACTGTTTGATTTTAGTCCCCATTAGAGTTAGAATGGAAGAAGGAATGGAGGGTATATACATTTCTCTCTCTAATTATAACTTCTCAGAGATAGAGATAAATAGATAGAGAGAGATTTCTCCTTTTTGACTTCCCAAATTTGGCAGATTGGTGTATATTAATTAAGGGTGCAAGTCAGGTTGGTCCGATTTAACAATTTACACTGTTTTGGGCCCGGATTTCAAGTTGAACCTATTGAAATTTCGACAAAATTTCAACCCTAATCCGAAAAAATTGCATCCCTAATATTAATTTACTAAACTTGTGATAACCAAGGAATGAAGTTCGCCCTTTACACCACCTAATTCCGATGACTTTCAGATGTTCTAATTTCCCAAATCAATACATTTTCTTCTTGCTTTTGACTTTAATGCCCAAGCCTTGAGTATGGAGCCTCACAAGTCTTGATTCTTCGTAAGCAAATCGACTCTACATGGCTCCTTCTATGACCATGACATGCCCCCTTTATTTTCTTATGACTTTCACTTCCGTAACTCAAGCCAAACATAGCTTAATGCATGGATCATTTTTTGTACCTTATAATTGTGCTTAACAATGTTGAAAGAAGAAGAGGCTAATTTGTTCTCTCATGCCCTGCTTGAAAATAAACTAGCCTGGCTAGAGGTTTATAGGCGTTTTTTTTTTTTTTTTTGGAGCATGACATGGTTGGTAAAAATCGTGAGGACACTTTGAGAGCATGGCATCTAGCTATGGGTGTCAATTGGTTTGGATTTGGTCCAATTCGATCCAGTCTAATGAGAGTCCATTATAAATGGATCAGCTCCAATTCAATCCAATGAATGTTTTGGACCAATTTAGATCGGTCCAATTCAATGTCTGGATCATCCAATCTGTCCAAATTCATTTTGATTTAGATTGGTTTCAACCTAAATCCGGTTTATTGACATATATTCTTATTTTATATCAATGGACTAGATATTGGCTTAATCTAACCCAATCCAATATAAATTTGTTATGAATGGACCAGGTCCAATCCAATCTAATAAATATTTTGGACCAGATTGGTCCAATCCAATATGTTTTGTTGGTCTGTCCAATCCGTCTAAATTGATTTTAGACTGGACGGGGTCTAATCCAAAACCGGTCCATTGACACCCTTACATCTAGCTGCACATTGGAAATATTTCTCCATAAATTTAACATACAAATATTTTTCCATCAAAGTATTAATATGATACATCTGATATATCTTTAGGGGTCTGATGCACCTGTTTACAAGTGTTTTTGATCGGAAACCCTTTTTTAATATATATATAATCAGGTGTATCGATATTCTTTACAGGAGAAATACCCAATGTGAGGGTAGATGCCTTGCTCTCGTAGTGTTAATATGGTTTTTACTTTCAGGAGATACGGGCTTTTATTCTGACTTATTGCTTTTGAAGCATGGGAAGGCCTAATTTTCTAATCAAGCTCCATTTGGATAAGCTTTTGCTTTTAAGCTTAGGTTATGAGAAATAAAAATGAGCTAAAAAGTGTTTTGAAGTTTGGCAAGAATTTCTTTGAAAGGGAACATCAATCTAAGGCAAAATATTTTTAAGATGCAAAGCACGTCCCAAAGCATTAAGTGGGTGTTTGGCATCGATGCCATTTTTTGAAAAAATGGTGTCATGTAGGCACCACATCATCAGAAAAAGCGGTGCTTTGAAAAATGGCCTATTATTTAGAATAGTTTTTCCATAAAAAATGCTGTTTCAGACCATGCCTTAAAAATCGGAAATGTGTGGTCTAAAGCAATGTCAATTTTGACATTTTCTCAGAAAACAGCTCATTGCTGTCAGTGGTGCAAAGATGTATCATCATCTTGCATGTTAGATAATATGATCAATACTGAAAACGGTTCTACAGTACTCGTACCAAATAAAACTAGTGTTGTATTGTTTTCCCTATGTAGCAACACCGCTTCAAAACAAAAAATACATGCCCAGTACTGTTTTAATGAAAAAATGGTGTGGTGGTCCCAACACGGATGCCAAATACCTACTAAGTCAAGTTGGGGCATGATGCTTTTGGGCTTGGGTTTTGAAAAAATCACAAATGTTAAAGCTTATCCAAACACAGCCTTACTACAACCTAAACCCCAAATGGACCTTTCCATGATGCTGTGGGTCCCAGCATCGAATTGGGGTCCCACCATTGAGAAGAACCGGGTAAAAAATCACCCTAAAAGAATGCTACATCTCATCTGAATGTAGGTGAGAGTAGGTCCACATCATCTTAGTAGACAACAACATCTAAGTGCTAAAGCTAGAAGCTCCCCACCGATCGTGTATGGTTGTGCATTAGTAACAAGGTCGTACACTTGTACAGTGACAGACGTGCTGCTTCATATATTCACTCTAGTTGGGTTGAAAATTTTTAAAACGAATTTTCTGAAAACTGTTTCCAAGGGGGTGTTTGCCTATGCATGTGATTTTTTGTTTTTTCAGAACAAAAACTCAAAAACGAATACATACATTAGGGTGGTGTTTGAGATGATGCGTGATGAGGGGTGTTTTGGCCCAACTTGATAAACAGAGGACACGTGGATGTAGCCCACCAGCTAGACGATGACTCAGCACCACAGTCACCTCGGATGGCACTGAGCTCCGGGCACCTTGGATAGCTAAGACTAATCAAAGCGACACGTAGTAGATCTCTAGGAGCTTGTTAGCTGTCCCCGAATCTTTCAGGATCATGCCACGTAACTATTAGGTTTAACTTCACCCCATCCAAATTAAAGGGAAACGGTAATCCCTATCAATTAGCGATTCTTGCCTTCCCGAACGAAACGAACCCCAACGACTTGGGCCAAAGACCCCATGAACGTTTCGTGAAACCCACGGCAGTCCAACCATATAAGAGCATTAGCCTTTGAGACCCAGGTAGGCACGATTACTTGCTCACTAGCATACTTGCATTCAAGCTTTCAGCTTGCAACTAGAGTACAATACAGACTTAAGCATTGGAGTGACCTCGTCGGGTTAACCACATCGAATTCTTTGATCATTTGTTTTACAACTTGGTCCAATTCGCTATGCAATTAGTGTCCAGGTAATCTTCCAACTAGTTCTTGGCATCACATGAGAACTACATCAATGATTCCAGAATCACTGATTATTTTGCTGTTCGATTGACTGATTTTTGAGAAATTGGCAAATCAGTCAGAAATTAATTATTAAAATTGAGCTGATTCCGATTATTTTTTGATGATGTAGTATCTAACATGAATAGGGAAGATGGTTTCTATAAACACAAAAAATCACTACTCATAATTACTACCAAACAACTCATAACCAATTTCTAAGAAATCAAGTGAGGTGGCAAGAATAATATCAAATAAGCAACTTCTCTGATTCATGAGAAATCAGAAATCCATGATTTTTTGAAAAATCTCATAAGAAAAATCAGCATCCATCCCAAACATCTCCTACGACAGTAGAGAGGGTAGAATTGTCATTTCGCGTTGATCCGGTGGCACTTAGCGTAATTATATGGCGATGAGGCATGAGCGTCATTTTGTCGAGTTCGCCCGTTTTTATCCGCGAGACTCACTGACTCACTGAAAGCGCGTGGAGGAAAAAACGAGGCCCCGCAGAAGACTTGCAGAGTACTATGGTAAGCCCAGAGACTCAGATCAGAGAGAGAGAGAGAATTAGAAAAAAGTTAATTTTGTTTCATCTCTAACGGTAGATAAAGCGAAAATCTAGCTTCATTTGCTCTTTTATTTTCTACTGTAATTTTAATGGTTAGAATGTATAAACTACTGCAGCTTCGGAGAATTTGTAGTAAGATGTCTGTTTGCTTTCCTTGTATTGATCTTTTTGTTTGTTCGATTTTTTTTATCGGAATTTAGGCGAGAACGAGCTGGATAGAAAGCTTTTAAAAGTCCGGAGGCGTGATTAAAGTAGACTCCCACTAATCTGAGTTTCAGATCTCTCTCATTGTGGAGCATTTTCGGATTTTCCTGCTTAATTTAGTTAGGTTCTGACAGTACGGTCTTCCGACTGACTGAAACTTCAAACTTTCTCCTCTCTCTCGAAACCGCTTGAGCGTGGACCGGATTGTTTACTAACTTCAATCAAAACCGACAAATTCGCTGTCATTTGAAATCAGGAAGTCCGTATCTCTTTCGCGAACAGAAAACGTATGGAAATAAAGGATTTCGGAACTAATGAAGGAGCTGAGTTAGATCTGTGGGTAGATTAGAGATTTGCTTATTTTAGGGGAAAATGCGGTGGTTGAGGAGGTGATGGAGGTTGTGAATTCATTCTTCTGACATAAAAGCAGTGGAATTTTGACTCCGAGTTTTCATTGGATCCCGGGAGTTCCCGACAAAAATCGTGGCTGACTAAATTAGTTGAGCTTCGGTGTTTCAGGAGGAGCAATTATTTTGATTAATTCTGACAGGGGACAGCATATTGAAGAATTAGCTTATAAGAGAGATTGGTCTTTAGTCAAAAATGGTGGGGAGAGAAAGTAATTTTTAGCGGAGACACTAAAAATTTGATTATCATCAATTTCTGGTTAAGTTTTAATCCAATTTCTCTCTCCCCTTGTAGCCAACATATGTGAAAATAATAAAATGTCTCACAAAAATCCATTCTCTTTCAGACAATTTCTCGCATAAATTCTTCTGTTAGTGAATAAAAAGATTTTTTTTTCCTTTTTCGTTCTTTCTGGGTCTTTAGAGAAAAAGCTCAGAGAAAGAAAAGCATTTTTCACCGAGAGAGGTTGTTTTTGTGTTAATGTCTGTTAGTTCGCTTCTTAAACTTAACTTAGTACAACTGTAAAAGAAGCGGATTTGAAGGAAAGCCAGGGTAGGAGACAGACAGAGAGGTATGGCTGGAGGGTTGAATTTCTTTTCTTCCGTGATGATTTTACTGTTTTTTCTTCTTCAGCAAGAAAAAAGAAATTGATTTCTGGGAGGGTAATTAGTTCGGGTCAAAACCCCATTATCAAGCTTTCACACTTACTGTATGTTTGTCGGTAAAAGTTCCTCTGCTTCTCTTATAAAACGCCTAGTGTTCTTACCTTCTGTCGTTTTCTCTGATTCACAGAGGAGAAGAAGTGAGGGAGAGTGTCAACTGTAAAAATCCAACTCACTTGGAGAGATGCGCAATAAGAAGAAGAGGAGAAAGTAAACAAGTTAAAAAAAAGGAAGAGGGATTAAAAAAAAATTGCAAATGAAGTACTGCTTAAAAGACAAATAGAGAGAGAGAGAGAGAGGAGAGAGAAAATAAAGAGGGGTCTGTTTGTAAAGCAAGAATTTTGCAATGTCAGAAAATTCTAAGGAGATAAAGACGGTAGAGCAGTGGAGATGGTCCGAAATGCAGGGTGTTGAGCTCACATCAGCTGAGGCAGGAGGATTTAAAGGGGAAGTGGAACCAACGCAAATAGAACTGAAAGTAGCCCAGAGATTGGAGGCTAGAGTAGTCCAAGGTTGTGAGGATAGAGGAGAGAAGGGGAAAATGGAGGCTTCTGAGGGGAACAAAGATACCGGGGAGAAGCCCGGTTCATCTCCTCCTTCAGTAGGGTTCGGTGAGCTCTTTAGATTTGCAGATGGGTTGGATTGTGTCTTAATGGCGATTGGTTCCGCTGGTGCTATCGTTCATGGCTGCTCGTTGCCGCTGTTCCTTCGATTCTTCGCCGATCTTGTGAATTCATTCGGGTCCAATGCTAACAATCAGGATAAGATGGTGCAGGAAGTTGTCAAGGTAACGATTACTGAACGCTCTGATTTTTATGAAATCAAGTGTGTGTGTGTGTTTGTTCATTGGGCTTGCTTTGAATGGATTAAATGAGAACCCATCTTTGATTCGCTGTTTGAATTTGCAGTACGCATTCTACTTTCTTGTGGTAGGAGCAGCAATTTGGGCGTCTTCGTGGGCAGGTTCTTCGTTTGATCTTCTTGGGTAGTTGGACTTTTAGTTTTATTGCTGTTTTAACTTGGATTATAATTGGAAGAAGTCGAAAATACTTGCAGAGATATCATGTTGGATGTGGACGGGAGAGAGACAATCGACCAAGTTGAGGATCAAGTACCTTGAAGCTACTTTGAATCAGGATGTGCAGTTCTTTGATACAGAGGTTCGAACTTCTGATATCATTTTCGCCATTAATACGGACGCCGTGCTGGTCCAAGATGCCATTAGCGAGAAGGTAAGAAAGAGAAACCCACGTCTAATTCTACGTTACTTTTCCTGCAATTGTTCTCTGATTGCACCCAATTGCTTCCTTTCCTTCTGCAGTTGGGTAATTTCTTGCATTACCTTGCAACCTTCGTTTCTGGGTTTGTGGTGGGTTTCACTGCAGTATGGCAACTAGCCCTCGTCACGCTTGCAGTCGTCCCTCTTATTGCCTTAATTGGAGCCATCCACACCACCACATTGGCCAAGCTCTCCTCCAAGAGTCAGGAAGCTCTTTCCCAAGGCGGAAACATTGCAGAACAGGTAGAGAAACAGAGCAAGTTTTCCCATTTGGCATTCTGGGTACTGAATTAAAAAATAGTGCACATTAATCAATAGAAACAGAAGATGTTCTTTATGTGGGTATTACTGATTTCAAGGAAAACTGCAGACTATTGTTCAAATCCGGACGGTTATGTCTTATGTTGGTGAATCAAGAGCATTAGAAGCTTACTCATCGGCATTAAGGGTTGCTCAGAAGCTTGGTTACAAGACCGGATTTGCAAAAGGAATAGGACTTGGAGCTACATACTTCACCGTTTTCTGTTGCTATGCCCTTCTTTTGTGGTATGGAGGTTATCTCGTTAGACACCACTTTACCAATGGAGGACTAGCCATTGCCACGATGTTCGCTGTTATGATAGGTGGACTGTAAGTGTTCGATCAGGCGTCCTCTTTGACATATTTGTCCATTTGAATGTTACATTTGTTTACTTTTCTTTTCTATTTTTATGAGAATAGCATTCGGTTCACAGGGCTCTCGGACAGTCCGCCCCGAGCATGGCAGCGTTCACAAAGGCAAGAGTTGCGGCTGCAAAGATCTTCCGCATCATTGATCACAAACCAAGTATTGACAGGAATAGTGAGTCGGGTTTGGAGTTGGAATCAGTTACAGGCCAGGTGGAGCTGAAGAATGTCGATTTCTCGTACCCCTCCAGGCCAGACATTCAGATCCTCTCGAACTTCTCCCTAATCGTTCCAGCCGGGAAGACCATAGCCTTGGTTGGAAGCAGTGGCTCTGGTAAGAGCACAGTCGTCTCCCTCATTGAAAGATTCTACGATCCTACTTCAGGTAATTAATACACCATTTTTTTTCTCTAATTCAGTAAAACTGTAAATGAAATAAATGAAATAGGCTTCCTTTTATTAAATAAATTTAATTACTCTGCCATGGAAGCCAATTCTGTTCACGGATTTCATGTGCGTACTTATGGAGAGGTATTTTGGACCGCACAGGGCAAGTTCTGCTAGATGGGCACGACATAAAGGCACTCAAATTAAGATGGTTGAGGCAACAGATTGGGCTTGTGAGCCAGGAGCCTGCTTTATTTGCGACCACAATTAAAGAAAACATGCTCTTGGGTAGGCCAGAAGCAACCCAAGTTGAGATCGAAGAGGCAGCCAGGGTTGCTAATGCCCACTCGTTTATAGTCAAGCTTCCTGATGGCTATGACACTCTGGTTAGTACAAACCTTATCTATGAGTTAGGTTGAGGTTTAATAGCTTAATACAATAGAACCTAAAATATCTCACCTCCACAAGCATAGTTTACAGGTTTACATTTCCAGGAATAGGATGGAGACCTTGATATCAATCATGGTTAGATGTAAAAGTAGTCTGGTTGATGATCTAAACCGTCAGGTTGCATTAGGTTTTCCTTCTAAACTTGGCCTGATTAACTGGGCGGTCCGGATTCTCCCCTTGTCTGGTCATCCAAATTCTGAGCTCATACATGGCCATCTTAAATTAGAATTTCAAATTAATAGATTTTAATCATTTTTTCATATGTTAGGCACATTCTTAGTCTTTGTACTGTTTAGTTAGGGGGAGATTTGTCAAATTCTTGGAAGGTGAACCTTGAACATGGACATGACTCTTTGGCAGGCCTTCTTAAAATAGACAATAACTTGATTCAGTATCCATTTCAGCAGAAATAAATAAAACCCCCGTCTGATATTCACATGTACTGTTGACTGAAACCATGTGATGTGACCTTGTTTTAAACTAGTCTGAAATGGTTGAATTAATAAAAAAAAAGAAAAATTTAAATTCCGTTAGTTGACTGGACTGACCATTTAAAAATAGCAGTAAAAGTTCACACGGCAGTAGAAAATGAAAAAATGTTTGATCTTTGGTACTAATTACTGAGAGGGAATGGTAAGCATGAAGTAAATTGCAGAAAAGAAAAACCAAATGGAAGCTAGGCTAGATTTCCTAGAGGCTAGAATATCAATGGTGGAGACAAGTAAACAAGTGTATGAACTATATGAAATGATAATTTGAAAATGGCAGGTTGGGGAGAGAGGCTTGCAACTCTCAGGAGGACAGAAGCAGAGAATTGCCATAGCAAGGGCAATGCTGAAGAACCCAGCAATCCTGCTGCTGGACGAGGCAACAAGTGCCCTGGATTCAGAGTCAGAGAAGCTGGTGCAGGAGGCCCTTGACCGGTTCATGATAGGGAGGACAACTCTTGTCATTGCCCACCGGCTCTCTACCATCCGCAAGGCTGACCTTGTTGCTGTCCTCCAGCAAGGTGGTGTCTCTGAAATTGGGACCCATGATGAGCTCATTGCCAAAGGTGAAAATAGCGTCTACGCCAAGCTTATCCGCATGCAGGAAATGGCTCATGAGACCGCTCTTAACAATGCCAGGAAGAGCAGTGCAAGGTAATTTCCACAAACTCAGCAATGTTTTTTTTTTTAATTTTTTTTTCTTTTCCTTGTCGATAATTTCTGTTTCTGTTTAGTAGTTTGTTCACTGCAAATATATTTAGTCATTCCCCAATATTGTTTAGATGATTTACATTTTACTGAAACTCTTAGGTAAAAATTTGGTTTTACTTTGGCAGACCTTCTAGCGCCAGGAACTCTGTAAGCTCGCCAATTATTGCCCGGAATTCTTCCTATGGCCGATCACCTTACTCACGACGACTCTCCGACTTCTCCACCTCTGATTTTAGTTTCTCAGTTGATGCCTCACATCCCAATTACCGGATGGAGAAGCTTGCCTTCAAGGAGCAAGCTAATTCCTTCTTGCGCCTTGCCAAGATGAATTCCCCTGAATGGACCTACGCCTTGTTTGGCTCTGTTGGGTCGGTTGTGTGTGGCTCTCTGAGCGCATTCTTTGCTTATGTCCTCAGTGCTGTCCTAAGCATCTACTATAACCCAGACCATGCTTATATGAGTCGAGAGATTGGGAAATATTGCTATCTTTTGATTGGGGTTTCATCAGCAGCCCTTCTCTTCAACACCCTGCAACATTTCTTTTGGGATGTTGTGGGGGAGAATCTCACGAAGCGGGTGAGGGAGAAGATGCTGGAAGCTGTAATGAAGAACGAAATTGCATGGTTTGACCAAGAGGAGAACGAGAGTGCGAGGATTGCAGCCAGGCTATCTCTTGATGCCAACAACGTCCGATCAGCAATCGGAGATCGGATTTCGGTGATCATGCAGAACTCAGCCCTCATGCTTGTTGCTTGCACTGCAGGGTTCGTTTTGCAGTGGCGCCTTTCTCTGGTTCTTCTTGCTGTATTCCCTGTTGTTGTTGCTGCCACCGTTCTGCAGGTATGGATTTCCTTATTGTCGTGAATGCATGCCACTGTATTGGCAAAGCAAAAATTGTTCCGACTTGTTTTTCCCGCCTTGCAGAAAATGTTCATGAATGGCTTCTCCGGTGACTTAGAAGCTGCCCACGCCAAGGCAACACAGCTAGCAGGCGAGGCTGTGTCAAATGTCAGAACTGTGGCTGCATTCAATTCAGAGGCGAAAATCGTCAGCCTCTTCTCCTCCAACCTTGAGTCACCCCTGCGTCGCTGCTTTTGGAAGGGACAGATTGCTGGAAGTGGCTTTGGAGTAGCACAATTCTTACTCTATGCCTCCTACGCCCTTGGGCTGTGGTATGCAGCTTGGCTCGTAAAGCATGACATCTCTGATTTCTCAAAAACCATCAGAGTCTTCATGGTACTCATGGTGTCCGCCAATGGCGCTGCCGAGACACTGACCCTTGCTCCTGACTTCATCAAGGGAGGTCGAGCCATGCGCTCAGTCTTTGACCTCCTCGACCGCAGGACTGAAATTGAGCCCGACGATCCCGACTCGACTCCCGTCCCTGACCGCCTAAAAGGGGACGTAGAACTCAAGCACATCGACTTCAGCTACCCATCTCGCCCCGACGTGCAAATCTTCCGAGACCTCACTCTACGTGCCCGAGCGGGCAAAGCGCTCGCCCTCGTTGGCCCGAGTGGGTGCGGCAAGAGCTCTGTCATTGCACTGGTGCAGCGATTCTACGAGCCGTCATCAGGCAGGGTGCTGATTGATGGGAAGGACATAAGGAAATACAACCTCAAGTCAGTGAGAAGGCATATGGCAATGGTGCCACAAGAGCCTTGCCTGTTCGCGGCCACCATACATGACAACATTGCATACGGACGGGAGTCCGCCACAGAGGCCGAAGTGATCGAGGCTGCAACATTGGCAAATGCCCATAAGTTCATCTCATCGCTGCCGGACGGCTATCGAACCTGGGTGGGCGAGAGGGGTGTCCAGTTGTCGGGCGGGCAAAGGCAAAGGATAGCCATAGCCCGGGCTTTTATAAGGAAAGCAGAGATCATGCTGCTTGACGAGGCCACCAGCGCGCTGGACGCCGAGTCGGAGAAATGCGTCCAGGAGGCCCTGGAGCGTGCATGTGCCGGAAGGACAACCATCGTGGTGGCGCACCGGCTGTCAACAATAAGGAACGCCCATGTCATCGCCGTGATCGACGATGGGAAGGTGGCAGAACAAGGGTCACACTCGCATTTGCTCAATCATTTCCCGGATGGTTGTTACGCCCGAATGATCCAGTTGCAGAGGTTTTCACACGCCGGGCAGGCCATAGGAATGGCACCAGCACCAGGCTCAACTTCTTCGGCACGTGCCAAGGACGACGATGAGAGAGAGAGAAGCCAAGTGAAATAATTAGTTTCACTTTTCACATCGCTGAAACTTGAAAGAAAGGGGAGGAGACTGGAATACTGTCAAAATTTTTCCTTCCTGGGCTCATGGCATGGGTTTTACAATATTAACATATGTTGGTGATATGTAATGTAATATAGTCTTTTGTTTTTGGTTTTGTACCCTACTAGAGACTAGAGAGTAGAGATAGATAGATAGAGCTAGAAAGTAGAAGGCTAGAAGCGTTGTTTTGTTTTGTTCTGGTATTATATATAAAGAAATTGGCGAAAGGGAAAAATAACAAATACATCGATTGGGAATTGGAAGTTGGAAGTCAAGAAGACAAGGAGAGCAGGCACCCCTCGTGTATGTAGTTTGTCCTGCCGCCATGTAATGGGTATTCAAAGGAAGGATCGCCGAAGATCGGTGCCGGGTCCACTCCATCACCATCTGCTACTTCCAAAATTATCACAAGGATGGGCATGGGACCCATTTCCCTTTCGTATTCAATGATGCCATTGGATTTGTGATGGAGATACCTTGGCTGAAAGTGATCCACCACATGTGATGTGATTCCAACTCTGTGGACTGTGGGCCTGGGCCTGTGGCCATGGCATCAACCATGTCAATTGTCTGTCCCATCATTTTCTGATCCTAATGTTGGGACTTGGGAGTGGCCCAGTAGGGACTGAGCATCACTGCCTATGCCTAGTAGTAGTGTCTGTCTGGTGCGGCTTCTGTATATTTTGGGCATTTGGAAGGAATTTTGGATCTCTCTCTCTCTCTCAGTGTAATTATTGTAAGCAATTATTATTTGGTGAATTATGAAGAGAAAAGGGTAACCCACATCTCTCATCTCTCTACTCTACTTGGAGTGTGCTTTATTTATCCTCTACCCAAAAACACCTATCTAGTTTTGAATCCTGAAGGGGAACCCAGTTGAAGGTGGGCCCATGACAACTAGGTAGGCCTAGGGAGATGAGACTGTAGCTTGGGGTTGGCTTCACTTGACTCATAAGATGGTGTGAGAGTGGCCAGTGGGGTGGCTTTCATTTTTCCATTTAGAAAAGGAGAACAACTAGAAGTGGCAGACATGTGATTGCTTTGCACATAGACAATTACCCTCTGAGAGTGCACACAAGGTCCAGGTTGGATCCAGACGCACCAATCGTAGCGTAGGTAGTGCCCTTGAGTTTGGCTAGGCTAGGAATAATGTGGATTTATATATGTAGTGGGAATAAGATGAGGAGACAGCATTAGCTTGGGTCATGTGGTGGTTGACCCGCTAGCACATGTTTAACCTCCCAGATAGGGGAACGTGTTGAGTAAAAGCAGGGAGAATGCACACATGACATGATCAAGGACTCCAAGAACTACAAGTGGTGACTGATGGGTTCGTACCTGGCCTCGGTGGTGGGGTGTTGGTCCTCCACTCCTGGTGACAATGCGTGTGAAATAAACATTGGAAATACAAGCCCATTACAAAGGGGGGAGGCGTACGCGTACCCGGCGGCTGCTTTGCTCCCAACTCCAAATCTTCTTTTTTGAGTTTGCTTATTTCAATCTTTGTTGGGTCAGGGTCTGAGATGAGTAGAGTTGGAGCAATTTTTCTTACTTTGCTTACTGCAGGGAGGGTGGAGGCTGATTGATTATATCTGAGGCACTGTTCCCAAATATAAACTCCATACATTGGATGCAACTCTTGGATCACTGGATTTGGATGGAGGAAAGAGGAAATCTAGTGAACGAATTTATGCAACCTTTGGGATAGCTGGCCGGCTCGCCTACAGACACGATGGAACCCAAGAAAAGATACTCTACAAAAACAAAATTTGGAATGAACCCCACCTTGTCTGTAGGGGGAGGTATCCAAGAATCAGATATACTCCTTTACCAGAAGGAAAAAAAACAAGAAAACCTATCTGGAGCCGAGCATACACATGTTCTGCATGTTGCGGGTATGCTTTTTTAATTGAAAGAGAAAAAAAAAAAGTCATTGGTTGAGTAACTTCTGGTGCTCAGTAAAATTTAAACAAACAACACTTGGAGATAAAATAATGGGTCTAGATGTTTAATCCTGCAGTTGTGGATAACGTTTTAAATTTCATCCTCGTTTTGATCTCTGCTTTAGTCTTTGTGGATGACAAAACCCTTGGTCTTAATGAGAAAACGTGGCATGTTTCTTTGTCTTGATTACCAATTTATCGTTCAGTTATTTAGAACCATGGAATGGAAGTGGTCCTCCTGATTTAAAAAAGCAAAAAGATAGGCAAGTCAACCCAACCCCAAGACGGGGATCACTTAATATTTTTCAATTTTTCACCCTTCTGGCTCTGGGGTTCATAACTTCACATGCAATAAAGTTTCCCACGAGAATAGTTTCGGAATTCAATCAGAGTAGTTGAACCCCAACTACCAATTCCAGAAAGAATCGTTCGTTTAATTTTTCCATCAAGCGCGTTCGAATTCCTTGAATTAAAAACTTTTCAAAACAAATCACATTGATGGATTCTCAAGGATACCATATGCCACAATTTCATCCCAAGATATCTCATACTTGGTAAATCAATTAAATGTTCCACTCCTTCCGCTCATACTTCTTAATGCATTACTTTATTGTTGTCTGGACTGTGTTGTCTGATGAATAAAGTTTGGATCAAACAAAGCTGATTGACAAGGACACAACAAAGGATAGGATACAAAGGGCTCCAGCAAGCAAAAAAAGATACCAATACATTGAGCTTCGTAAAATAATGGCTCACTGTTATCATTATTATCATCATTTAAGCCATGTCCCCACTACATGGGGTCGGCTACATGAATCCTGTTTTGCCACTCTATTCTGTCTAGTACCCTATCCATTGTTATATTATGAGCAGTAACTTCTTACTACATGTCCATTTTGGTCTGCCCTTAGTCCTTTTAGTCCCTTCAATTTATAACAGATTACTTCTTATGCATGCTATAAATGGTATTCTAAGCATACGACCATCTTAATCTACTTTTTCTCTATTGAGTTTTACTATTGTTGATTTCAACTTGGCAGAAGGATAAAAGCAAAACATTTCAATCTAGTAAGGAATCTTCAACAAGAGAATCAGATATCTCAAACTATAACAAAAAATTGGGCTCCTCACATAGACATCAGCTTTGGCCCATTGTCAGGCATCCCCATCCCGGCAGCTAAATCAGCATCCAGTTGAGTATGGGGTGCAGGTCCCATCATTTGCTTCACTCTGTATCATCATGAAAGCAGGTTAATAGTTGATATAAATTGGTCATTATTGCTGGTAATCGTAACATGGAGATCCTATATATGAAAAGCCTTTTTTTCTTTTCTTTTTTTTTTTTTTGAAGAAAGAATAACTGATACTTCATTAAACAAAAAGTGTGCATATGAGATGCTATAAAGCATGGAAAACAAAGGATGCACACTGAATTACAAGGAATCCAAACAAAATTTGAATTTGCTAGACCATCTGCAATTGAATTTAACCCCCTAGGAATCCAAACAAAATTTGACCTATGTCTATAGCCTTGTTCAAGTAGTGAGCCAGCCTCCAAGGACCATCCTTTTCTCCTAACCATTTAATTGTGTTTGCAGAATCAACTTCAATGGATAAACTCAAGAAACCCAAGGTCTATCATTTCAAATCCCAGTAAGGGCCACCAGCACTTTAGTGTTAGTAGAGTTAACAGTCCTTATTGGGCCATAGAAAACCCAACAGAGACTTCCAACCCTCCCCGTGATCACACTACCTATACCAGAATTGCCCAAGTTCCCTAAAGCACTGCCATCAAAGTTTAATTTCAAAACCCTCTCCTGCTAAGAGGAAGGACCCTGGGGGATGGCCAGAATTTTGGGAGTAAAAGAAATTGACAACATTCCTCTGCAGGTCGTCACTCACAGAGATTCCTCTAAACACCTCAGAGTTTACTAGCCCTCATGTTACAAAGGTAAGCAAAATGGGAAATCAAATATTCAATAGATCTGGCCTTGTTATCAAAAACTCGAATATTTCTTTCTTCCCAAACACCCCACTTTAGGGCATGAGCCACTGGCCCACTAATTTTTCCTCTCCAGCTAAGACCCCTGCCTGATCATCAAAAGCACAATATTGGGTATGATAATTACAACAAAACCCAAACCAAGGAATCAAAATGGACAGGTCAACTTGCAAAAAGTGCAAATCAGAAATGGCATGAGTTTAAGATTGAAAATTTGTCCTTAAAGGACAACCTGAACCTTGATCCAAGATGATTTCCTTTATGGTTTCCCTAGTACCATTTTACTGCATGACCATGTGGTGGAGGCTAAAAGCAACCTGCTTAGGAAATGGTGATGGTGATTGCCTCAATGTTTTAAAATGCAGAGGTGTGATGCGAGGCATTCCACTACCTAGAGGCATGAGGTATAGTTCAAAACATAAGAGATGTAAAACTCCTTAAGAGGAGGGGGAGGAGGAAGAAGGGGAAGGAGGATCTCATTTTCCTTTATTTTTAATAAAAATCTTCTATATTTAAAAGAATGAATATGTGTGACGCTAGCCGAAGGGGGAGGGGTCTTGTTGAAGTGGAGGTGAGCAATCCAGACCCCCTAGCACAAAAAAAGGGCTGCATTGAAAAGGGGTTGGGGGCTCTGGGGGGTGAAGCCCCCAGCCCACTTTCTTTCCCTTTTTCTTTTCTTTCTTTTCTCTTGTTTTCTTCTCTTTCTTTCTTCCCTTTCTTTTCCTTTCATTTCCTTCCTTTCTTTTTTTTCTGTCTTTTTGTATGAGGTGTGCATGAGGCATATGCCTCAGAGGTACCAACCAGGCATACGCCTCACACACCTTTTAAAACACTGGATTGCCTGTTATCCTAGTCCATGTATCATACCACAAGTGGGAGTCAAGGACATGCCTCAAACTGTACCAAATAGGTTCTGAGTTCCCAATACAAAAAATGAAATTCACTCATTAGTAAAACAAACAAACAAAATTGCTTAATTTTATATCCATACCAAGTAAATGTATTTATTAGATTGAAAAACAAGATCCCCCTCCACAACAGCGGATTGTACAATCAAGGTTCAAAGTATCAGAAGCGCCAACTGTATCGGAAAGACAATTTTATGAGACGTATCGGGATACGCTTTGGATACGCATGCGTATCGAAGAAAAACTAAGATACACATAGAAACGCTTGGAAACACTATAAATACTTTAATAAATCATAAAAATACATCAATAATACTAAATATAAGACCTCGATGAGGTGTATATATAATAAATTAATATACTTTAATGGTTTTATGAAGAAATATATTGTAGTTAATTATAATTTCATTAAAAATCCTATGCTTAACTATAATTTATAAATTATAATTCTTAAATTTTAATGTTTTATGGGAAGGGAAAAACCCAACTCTCCTATCCAACCATAAGCATTGGCACAACTTCTAAGTGAAAATATAACCAATAGTTATTTATTATTTATTTTCAAAAATTATAATAAATAAATAAACATTATATAATAGATTCAAAAAATAATTGATAAAAAAGATATTTCAATTGCTTTGTGGATATGATAGATCATCCATAGAATTATAATATATTCAATCATTGTGATCAAATGATAAAATATAATTAATTAATTAATTATTTTTTAATTCTAAAAATACAAAAAAAAAATTATTAGATAAGAAATTTCAATTGGTCTGTGGAAATGATAGACCATCTATAGAATTATAATATATTCAATTGTTGTGATCAAATGATAAAATATAATTAATTATTATTTATTTTTTATTTCTAAAAATATAAAAAAATAAAAAAATACTAAAGAAGAAATTTAAATTGCTCAATGGATATGATAGATAAATTCATAGATCTAAAACATATTTAGTCTTTATAGGCAGAGAAAAATTACATTTTCAAATTTTTTATTAATTTATATTTTACCTAAATATCTCCATGAAATTTCCATAAATTTATTAATAACACAGAAAAATGTGATTTTGAATGTAAGAAATGTAGATCAACATAAATTTAAACATTCAAGAAAAAAAGAAATCACAAGATATTATAAAAATTTGAAAAAACTTACCTATTTTTTCCATATTTTTTCAAAATTTGAAAATTTTTCAAAATAAAAATTATGATTCACACTTGTTTTTTGCAAATTTAGCACTCTAGGAATGAGGTTTGGAGTTTTAGAGTCATTTGGGGGTGAAAGAAGGCTTATTTCAAGGAAAATAAGCTTGCTTTTCCCCTTTATTTTTTTTTCAGTTTTTGGTCGTATCTTTTTCTTTGATACGCTACCAATATGCCCCGATATACCCCTGATACACCCACGATACGCCCTGATACGGTCTGATACGGGTCCGATATGCATGAAAAAAAATGAGACGTCTGATTTCCTTGTGTATCCCGTATCTGTTGCGTATCATATCGAAATTTTAAACCTTGTTTACAATACAAAGACAGTATATATATAGCAGACCAAACCTCCAGAGCACATACAAAGAAATTCTTTACACTGGTCCCCCAGCCCTGGATTACCTCATTCCAGGTTGTCCTTGTTTACTCCAGCCATTGGCTAAACTGTTACCCAGGCTGTTTACCAATCTTGAGATCCCACCTGAATGAGCAGTTCATTAGCAGCCACTGCCATTGTTTCCCTTACCAGAAATCTTAGCGCCCAAGGTACAACATGGTCAAAAGTCGTCCATTTAAATTTCCTTCCACCTAGACACCTTCAAATAAAATGTTCTTCACTATCTAGAAAGCCTTTTTCCTTACCGTCCCCAATCCCCCCTCCCCGGAAATTAAGAAAAAAAAATTCCGATTATATGCTGTTTGGTTGTGCAATCTCCATGATTGTCAATCTCAACAAAAGTAATAAAATTAATGAACCAAATTTATTCAAAATAGTAATGCTCCATGCAGCTGTATGCTAAGTTGACCTTGAGGAAACTTGAGCTATGTCTACATTCTACAAAAGTAATAGTACATTTTTGTAAGTAAAATAAAATTTATTAACCAAAAAAGAACAACACAAGAAAGGTGCCAAGAAATCACCTAAGAGAAGAAAAGAGAAAAATAAAACCCAACAAACAACCAAAACCAACTTGAAACCCTTATGGCCTTAAAAATGCCTCCAAAAGAAAAACTTCAAGAAAACACATTGAACTAAAGCTTACAACAGTTCACCAAACCATCCAACACCAACACCACCCAATCCCAAGCCAGCTACCAAACACTTACAACTGCAGGCTACCAAACACCAACTTAACACCGCACAGGACAAAACCCACCTATTCAGCATTAGCAGTTTGAACAGAAACCACTCTACTCCTCTTAAAACCATTTTTAATTTCTTACCTTTTTGTTAGGCCCAACTCCAAATAAACCCCCTTTCAACCTAGCAAAGACTTTTGAAACCAGAATAGTTCAATGACTCTTCTGCCTTCTGAAACATCTACAGCATTAGGAATTTTTTTCAAGTTCATTCATCTCCTTCAAACTAGCTACGATCCTCTAGAATCACATTCTTAGTAAAAGTTTGATTTGCAACATCCTCTCCGCCCTCTCTGCAACCTCCCCTGTGACTTCGTATGAGCTAAAGCAGTACTATGAAATTATGGATAAATTATGAATCTTTTTTCCTTACATTATAACCCTTCTCTTCACAAGTCACTAAATCATCTTTATTTTTCTCCCAACTTTTTTTTTGGAAAAAGGTAAAGTAATATTTATTCAAAGCAACACATACAAGCTGTGATCAGACCCAGAAAGGCAACCTGACAAACACAGCAATTACATACTCCACCAGGAGTTAGAACGAAATACAACAGACAAATTCAAGTTCTAAACTCCTCAGAAGCTGACACCCAAGAGATTAACTTGCCCACAGCTTTCTGAATGAAGTCTTCTGGACTCTTAGCCTTATTACAGAAAAACCTACTGTTCCTCTCAGCCCAAATGGACCAGAAGACAGCACTAGGAATACCTCCACACTAACTTCCTTTTCTTGCTTAGACCTTTGATATTCCAGCAACAGAGGAGCTCTTTAACCAATATTGGCATAGACCAGCTGATGTTCATGGCTCTGAGAAAATAGTCCCACAACTGAGCAGAAAATGGGCAGTGAATGCACAGATGGTCTGTAGATTCAGAAACACTCCCACAACCCTGTCTAACAAGCTCTATTTTTTTTTATCATCAAAAAAAACTTAGTTCTATTACCATTACCAACCTTAATTGAAATCCCATCCACTAAAACAGAATAGTTCTTCATTATCCCTTTCCAACTCTTTTCTCCAACTCTTTTTCTTCCAACTCCTTGAAAACTTTCCTTGGAAATTCTTCCCCACCCAAGAAAAACTCCAAAGTTTTGCTGACTTTGATCTCTGCATTCACAACAGTTTCCATGTCAATAGATTCAACAACCTAGTGAGTTTCATCTAAGACCACCTCCTCTGCAAGTCCATCCTCATCTCCTCCCTCATCTTAACTCTTAGCACTATCAACCAAAGGCCATGTTCTATAATTCTTTTTTTTTTTCTTTAATTTTGATCAATAACACGGAAATCAGAATTTTACCAAGATTAGAAAGAAACAGAATACAAGTTGTAGAAAAAAGCAAAACGATTACATAGTTAACCCCCCAACTATATTACAAGTGTGCCCAGAATATCTGTTGTCTCTGAACCCTTTGCTTAGCTAAAGTGTCTGCCAAGCTGTTAGCAGATCTTCTGACCCATCTAATTTGAACGTTCATATCTTTTGAAAGCCATTTAAAGCACCTGAACTCATTCCTCAGCTGCCAAATCTACCCTATACCTTTTTTCAGTCATTCCACAACTATCTTCAAATCACAATCACCTTCACTGATCAGCCTACCCACTCCTAATTCCTTGACTTTCTCAACCCCAAAGACTGCTGCTAGGAGTTCTGTTCTTACCGAATCATATACCTCTTCATCCGACATGAACTTTTTTTTTTGGAAAAGGTAAAGTAATAATTATTAAGAAAAAGATACACACAGGAGGCTGAGATCAGTCCCAGAAATGGCTGACTGATCTAAAACAGCAATTACATGAGCCATCAAGAAACAGAAAATAACACATCTGATACATTACAATTTCTAAATTCAGCAGTCACAGGCAGCCACGAAAACAACTTGCCCACCAACTTCTGAGATAGATCCTCCAGACTAAGAGACTTGTCATTAAATACCCTTCTATTCCTCAGTCCAGATGCACCAGATAACCACAAATGGAATCAGCTTCCAGAGAACCTTCCTTTTCTTGCTCAACATGAACTTCTCAACCGAAATGTTGTTCTTCCTTGGAAAATGCAAATCATTCACAATTCTCCCATCTTCCAACACAAGCCATGGATTTCTATCAGGGTCACCTACGTTCATTTCACCTTGACTAGGGGACCACACCTCCAAGATTGCCACTTTAGTCCTTTGCTTTTGCACGAAGTCACCTCAACTCCCATCAACTTCTCCAGATATCTCCCTATAGGATCAAGATTGCTTACATCCACCTCTTTTGTGTTTGTGTCACTGCCTTGTAGAAAGATACCTAAGCAAATGCTTCTGCCAATGCATCTGAAGCTGAAGTTAGGGCTTGGCTGACTAGCTTGAGAATTGCTAAACCAATCCAAATCAAATCTCTTGTGGTCAAGGGGGACTCTAGGAATGCTATTGGCCAGGCAGTCCACGAAGAGAAGGACCCTTGGAGGCTCTATCTTCTTAATGGGATCCAAGACTTGTCTTCCTCCTTTTCTTGTTTTCATAGATGGATACCAAGGGATCTGAATTCCAAGGCTGATTTTCTAGCTAAAGCAAGGGTTATTGGGCTTTATTGCAAGTTCAATGCCTATGTAATTTGGTTGGTCTTTTTAGCTTTGTTTTTGTGCTCTGCTTGTACATCCCCTCTCTTTTTGATTTTATTGAATGATATGAGTTACCTCTTCTCAGAGAGAGAAAGAGAGAAGCAAAAAATGTACATGGGAGCTGGGAGGATGTACAAAATTCTATGACTATAGCTATAATGCCCACATCCCTCAGCAAACAAAAAAAATCAGCACATACAGCTTTTTCTGATCTAGCAAGGCTGTCAGCCATCCAATTTAGTTCTCACAATATCCATCTAACCTGGACAGAAATGGAAACACAAATCTTCCACCTGCTTCCAAGGACACTTGCTAATCCCCCTACCCCCCCCCCTCCCTAGTTAGTTAAATTTGCAAAGCCTCCAACGAGTAGGGGTGCAACTCGAGTTTGCCCAAGTTAGCATTTTACACTGCTTCGGGTTTGAACCTTTGGGCCGGGCCCAAAAATCTTGACAAAAGGCCAACCTGAGCCCATCCATGATGCACCCCTACCAAAAAGGGAGGGCAACCTTAATCTTATGATAATAGAAGCACTAACTTCGAAGCAAAAAAAAAAAAATAGAAGCAATAACAAGTAACAAGTAGCACTAGGACCTCAACTTTAGTAGAATCAGCATCATCTATGGAACCAACCACCTTAGAACCAAATCAAGCATCAATGTGAGCAAGAATAACTCTCCTAAAGCCCTGTTTGATGATTAAGGACTTGTTAAAAGAAAAGTGCTTAAATTGACACAAATGACAATTTTAACCCTCACTTTGCTCATACATATATACAATGCTTTTCACATGTTATGCTATACATTTTAACTAAGAGTCCACATGGACCCACACGTGAATCGCCATGTAGACCAAATAACAATAACAATAACAATAATAATAATAATAATAATAATAATAAATAATAATTATAAACAATCCTAATAAATAATAAATACTCTGGCCTCCCTCTCCATCTCATACTTTTTCTTCCTTTTCTTCTTCAGAACCCCCCCCCCCGAAATCCACTATTCATCATCTTCCTTACAACACAGAACCAACGGTAACGGTGAATCCATTCCGATCTCCACCTCCAATCTCTCATCTCTCTTTTTTTTGGAACAATAATAATATACCCACACCATCTCTCTTCTTTTTTTCTTCTTCTTCTTCTCCCTAGTCTTCATTCTTTCCCTTTCCCTGTTCATCATCATTGTTGCAGCGGCGGGTTCAAACCAGCAACAGTGGTGAGTGGCGGTGTTGAACAAGAACGATGGCTGAGGAAGAAAAAACAGATTTGCGATCCGAGAGTTCGATCTCTATGGCAAGACTGAGGACTAAGGAAGAAAAAACAGGAATGGTGAGTGGCAAGGCTGCATACCAGCAACCAAATTTTGGTTTCGATCCCAGAGTTCGATCTCTATGGCAGTGTATTCGATCTTTGTGGAGTTTCAAGTTAAAAAAAAAAACAGAAGGAAGAAATAGAGTTCGATCTCTGTGGAGTTTCAAGTTAAAAAAAAAAAAAAAAAAAAACCTAGAAAGTAACTTCATGTAGATCTGCGAAACCCAGAAAAAAAAAATAACCTTTTGTCACTGGTTAGTTCAAGTGTAGATCTGCGAAAAAACAGACAGTTCAAGTAGATCTAAGAAGAACAGAGAGTCCAAGTTAGAAAAAAAAACCAAAAAAATGATTAAATGAGAAAAATAACTTCAGAAAATAGAAGAAAGTGGCCAAATGACAGGTCCGCCGGCCACTTTTCGTCACCGCCGATGGTCGCCGGTTACAACTAGTACACCGCTACCTGGTAGAAGAAATGTTCGAATGAATGGAGAAAAAAGTATAACCCTCACATGGGGGTACTTTTAGGTATTACAAAAAGTTATTAGGGACTGGAGGCACGCCTCTAGGCGTACACTGGAATTGCGTTGCCACCAATGTTTTAAAAGGCATGGGAGGCATACACCTGGAGGCACACCTCTAGGCAAGGTGCCCCCAAAATGCCCTAAGGTGTATGCTAGAGGCAGTGATGCCTCTGAGGCATATACCTCAGGTCCATGAGGTACACGCCTCATACACCTTTTGCACGAGGCATGCTGGAGGTGTACACCTCATAGAAAAAGGTAGGAAGAAAAAAAAGGAAAGGGAAAGAAAGAAAAGAAAAAGGAGAAAAGAAAGAAAATGAAACAAAAAATAAAAATAAAAAGATGAAATCCCCCTTACTCTTCTTCCTCCTCATCCCCCTCCTCTTAAGGAGGCTTATGCCTCCTTGTGCTCGGGAGGCTTACACCTCTTATATTCTGAACTATGCCTCACACCCCCTCCACATACTACAAACATTGCTCCAAAAAATCCTCAAATAAATTAATAATGCTACTATATCAACTAAAATACCTGGAATAACTTTCAAGGTAAATACATTTCAGTCATCACTAGCTTTGGCCATGGAAACTAAATACAACTTAACAAGATGTAAGTACCTCCATAACCAAAATAGAATATGCAGAGTAGAGTACTATTAATAGACACATATTACTACATGGTATGAACACGGATATCTACCATATGTACAGACATACATTATTCACTATACAGTGTTTGGTACCAGGATTTACAAGTGAATGATAACATTCCTGCATAGAATAAGAAAATAATTAAAAAGAATAATTAGTCCACTATTCATGGAAGAAGAGGGCACCTCTTCAAAGATAAATATATCCTACATTCCCAGAGTCCTTGAATACCAAGCAGATGATAGAATTGACCATGCAATCTAACCCAAGACAGAGCTATGATCTAATTTCCGGGGTAGTAATAAGGGCCCAACAAAATATAGACATAAAATTATCAGTTTCCAACCTAATACGAAAATTGTTCTTATCCAAGAAGCCCTGAGACATTCCAATTCACATATTTGCTTCTCAACTGCACAGACTGCAGGAGAAAATTGCCTCAACTCTTTGGATATCCCGCTTGAGAATTGAGATCTTTCTTTGGTTACTGATCCTCCACTGCACCACCAACTATAAGTCCTAATATATGGACCCTCCAGTAACAATGACTTGTTTACTCGAAAATGATGATAAAGAACAATCAAGACCTAGTTAGAGCCAATAATTAAAATGAAAATACAAAAGAAAGCCACTTGCTTACCGTTTCTTGTGGCGTTTCGTTCTGAAATGCTCGTCCCTCACGGACACATTCGAAAAATATCGACTGAGGAAAAAGAGACAACATTAATAAAAAGAAATAGAGGGAGAAAGAGAGGAAAAAAAGGAGCCAGCAAATAAAACCCATATCACAAAGTCGGGAAAGAAAAGGGTAAACGAGTCTTACTCGCAGTGCAAGCAGTAGTACTGACCCATCCCAGGAAGATCTTCATCCAGGGGAAGCGGCTTCTTCTCCCCATCTGGCTTCCGAAGCTCCTCATAAACCATATCATCGCGTGATGGAATCAATTAGTTAGAAAAATTTTCGAATTAGGTAAAAGAAGCATAGACCTGAAGCATAGACCAAGAAAACATTTGAAGGCATTGACAAAATTCTACAGAGAAAAGGATATCTTTGACAAGGAACTTGGTCCGGCGAGCAGATTTGTGAGAAAGCCTTCTCTTCTTCACTTTCCGGTGAGGGCATTTACCACCCATGCTTGGTTCTTTGCCCCTCTCTCTCTCTCTCTCTCAATTACTCTGAAACCGAGAAACCGAATTCTGTCTCCTGCGTTTAAACACCGGAAACACACGGAAAAGAATAGAAGGTTTTTAGTGGGAGAGGGAAAAACAAAAACTCGATGCGCGCATTTTCATTTAGGGTAAAATTTTTAAAACTACCCTTATAATTTAGCTAATTGATGAAAAGTAAGAAAAGGAAGAGAAAGAAAAGAGAGTATAGTTTTCTTTACCTTTTACTTCTAATATTACTGTTTACATATTGTTTTAGAGTAATTATAAGGGAGGGTCCGTTTGATTCGTGATCGGAATCGGAATAAGAATCTCTTAAAATCGGAATCGGAATGGTTTATTCTCTTTTGATTCAAACAGGAATCGGATTCCGATTGATGCTGTTTGGTTCATCAAGAGACTAGAATCGGAATCAGCCATGATTTTCAATTTTACCCCTAATAAAAATAATAAAAAATAAAAAATGCATGAAAATATCGAAAAATGTAAAAATTGTAAAAATTTTGCAGGAAATGCAGAAATTACAATAATTTTATAGCAAATTCAAAAAAAAGTATCCACCGCTTCTTCAAATGTCTCCCCCGTCTCATCGTTAATCCACCCATACTCGCTCATGCCCCCAACTAAACCCACGGAGTTCCCTCCCTTGAGGGAGAGCCGCAATGTCAGCCGACGTCGAGACAACGGTGACGAGAGTTGCAACAGTGGGCCTCAAACCAGCAAAAGCCATCTCACGGCACAGACAAAGGGCCTCATCTGGGTGCCCATTTTGGGAGTAAGCAACGAGCATGGAATTCCTGAAGACCACATCTCTTACCAGAATGTTGTCAAAGACTCAACGTGCAGTCATTACACATCCACACTTGGCATACATGTCAATAAGCGCAGCCCCTACAAAGACGTCCGATTCCCATCCCGCCCGTATGACGTGACAATAGATCTCTCTCCCTTGTTGTAGCGTAAGGAGGGCGGAGCATGCCTTGAGGACGAAGGGAAAAGCAAGTTGTCAGGGTGGAGACCATAATCAAACATTTGGTGGTAAAGGGAGTGCGTGGCTTGATGGGGTCCATTCCAAGCATAGCCTTGAATGAGAACGTTCCAAAGGAAGACGTTGTCTTTAGGAATTCTGTCGAACAAGCAGTGGGCATGGGGTAAATGGTTGCAAACCGAGTAGAGATTAACAAGTTTGGTGGCTACAATGGTGCTCAAACCGATGCCCGTAACGAGGTGCGCGTGGATTTGCTTCTCGGGCTCGATTGCTTTTCCCTCAATAAGAGACTGGAGGAGTGATGCGTAGTGGTGGCTAGCAATAGCAGAAGATGATGATGGTGAAGTTGGGCCACGGTGGTGGTGAAGATCATACAGAGGATGTATGATTCTGGACAAAGGCACGAATGGCAAATTTGGGGAGGTTCTTTGCCAAGGTGGAACCGTGGTGTACCCGTGGCATCTTCCTTTTGAATTGCACGTCCAAAAAGAAAAAAAGAAACTAATAGCGGAATGGGAATCACATTATGGGGGAGGGGGTCGGGAATGGCCATTCATTCCGCCTATCCATTCCCATTCTGGTCAATCAAACATCTGGAAACGGAATGACTCATTCCGATTCCGATTCCAGGGTCCTATTCCCTTGAACCAAACAGACCCTAAGTTTTCTAACAACTGTCTAAAACCTCCTCAATTGTTAACTTTTTGTTACACCCAGTCACATGTGACATTACATCACATGATTGATATTTTTTCAAAAATACCTCTTTCGCACACAATGGACCGTTAAATGAAGCCATTGACGTTGCTGCAACTGTGGTTCTTCTCTCTCATCTCTCATTTTGGTTCTCCCCCGGTTGCACAAGCAAGTGCCCCATGGAATGAAATCGCTAGATCCACAGTCCTCTAGACACCGCTGCAACCTTTAGAAGCACCATTTAACCAGAGAAATAGAGCACTCTCTCTCTCTCTTCTCCGGTGCCGATTACAATGTCAAGTCCTCTAGATGCCGCTGCAACCTTTGGAAGCATCCTTTAATCAGAGAAGCAGAACATTCTCTCTCTCTCTCTCTCTCTCACACACACACACACACAGGTGTCGATTACAATGTCAGGTTCAAGTCCTCGGATTATGGCAGTGGTGGTGATTCGAGTTCAAATGCACCTTGCTCCTAGTTCCACAATCACATCTATATGCTCTTGGTTTGGGGAGTGAGGTGGATTTTCATTCAACTGATTACAGGCTGAACGTCGGCACCAGTTATAGGTTGAACAAAGAAATGAAGGGGAGAGGCAAGAGCAGCTCCAGAAGTGGAAGAAGTAGAATCAAAGAGGAAGGGGCCTGTAGTTGAGTCGAATCCTCCCACTCGTACGTGACATGATTCAGCTCCCCCCTTCCTGGCGTGATGAGATCTTCTCCTCACAAATGGGCACCTCACAGGCACATCCACCGTGCATTGGGAGATGAAACATCTCCTGTGAATTATATTTAATAAGTACGGGAAATGTTTTCAATGCATGATGGAATGTGCGTGTGAGGCGCCAGGTGTGAGGAACAGATCCAGTCTCCTTACCGAATGCTACCAGCTCCTCTCCCTGCATAGTGGAATTTGAACACTTATCGCAAGTCACCCATCGTTCTCTCCTAAACGAGATTCTCGTGTTCACCAACGCCTAGAATTTGTCATTCACCCCAAGGCATCTACCAACCTACGAATCTGTGAGGCCTACAGCTGCTGCCATGCCAAAAATCACCCAAACGCATTTACCAGCCCATGCATCTATGGCTCATTCCAAGGGAATTCCGGATTGGATCTCACTGCTCCAAACGTTTCCACGTTGATCACTCCACCCGAAGATCTGCAAGTAACGCCCACCTCCAGTCATAATACTGAAGCCCCCGCTACAGATGAGATGACACACGCTCATGGTCCAACTATGACTATTGCCATGGGACCCGTACTTGAACCTGCATCTGATGAGGGCGAATCCAATGGGTTGAAGGTCTATCAATCCATTCATATTCAGGGATGTAATTCTGTTCTCAACTCGATGGACATAATTGGCGACAGCTGCAACGATTCCATTAGTTGATGTTGTCCAACTACAAAAGTTTTAATTCACTAATGTTAATGTCTCGTTTTGAAAATTAAAAAAAAAAATTAATGGATAAAATAATCTTTTTCATTTATCTGTTAACAGGCGTTAATGACAAGGAGGACTTAGTCAATTGTCAAAAAAAACCAAAAGATACGTTAAGACAATGAGTAAATAGTCAATTATCTAAACCATAAAGGTATTTTAAAAAATTTGTCCTTAAAAAAAGGGGAAATTTCAAACTATCCCTACGATTTGCACAAATTCCTTAAAAGTAACCCATACCCTTAATTTATTTCATAACTGAACACTAACAGATATATGAAAATGTCAAATTTACCCTTTATTATTCTTCAAATTTTCAAAAACATACCACACATTCTCAATACTCAATACAGTGCGACAGTAGCAAAACCCTCGATATAAAGGGTAGCTGGCTCTAATAAGTTGGAGATGATCTGAACCACAACCACTGCAACGTGGTCTTCAATTCGATGACTTCTTCATTGGCCAGTCCACGGTATATTGTGAGCATCGATGCAAATGCAAAACCAAGTAATTAATGCAGCAGATGCAGGCAGCCAAAAGTTAGGTTGAGTCCCATTTCCATTAACTAAATACTATATGCATAAAAATGGCAAATGAGCTTCTCCAAACTGTCATCATTGGAGTTTGATTCACCAACCCAAGTAATGCCATTGCTTTGTCTATAATTTTTCTGGCGATAGGACGGATCGGAAGCACCCCATTGTCACGGTCTGACACAGGCTTAGCCTTGCCTATGCTTGGCAGACTTACGTTAAGAGGCATCACCGTCATTTTTGTCAGTAAGATTATTGGAAAATTTCATGTCATCTTCAGGCAAACCACCAAAAGCTTAACATATTCTTTGAGGAGGGGTGATTGACCTCCTTAAGTGCTTAACCTTGGCACTCATAGACCAACATCCCTTGCGGGGCAGCCTTGGTTAATGGCTAGCATGACTATAGGGTTCCTCATGGGGACAATGCATAGACCGGCACTGCGCCACCGACACTCAAGGGAGGCTTGGCATGCGGGCCTGGCCTAAGCATGACCCTTCACCACGCCAATGCCTTGCTTGTTGAATGAGCTATCCCGTTGCCCCTAACGCACGGGTGTGTTCCGGCCCAACGGTTGCCTATCATCAATGGCACATCGGGTGCCTACATCATCGGCATACAGGAGACCCTTCACATTGGCGCCAAGTCACCTCACATCATGGTATTCCCCCTTTAGCATGTAAGAGGCGCCTCCCATGGACCGGCAAGAGCCAATCGAGAGCCCCGGTCATGCGACTTGAGGTCATGATCCAATGCCACTGACTGGTGGAGCCATCATTGGGCAACTCCTAGCCCTAAGCATACAAAAGGCATGTCCCGGCCTGCCTTGGCCTGGACGCCACACAGGTTTCTTCTGCTGTAGAACTACCCCCGTGACACCATCCCATCATTGGGATTGTATAGAGAACTCTCTTCCTTCAACTCCGCTCTTGAATTCTACTTTGAACCAAATTTCTGGTACCCTCCGGTTGGCTAGTCTCTTTCATATCTTCATTCTTTTAGGCCTGCAAGTTCAATTCTTGGCTCAAGGGATATCAATGCTTGTGTTTATACTCGTTTGCAACTGTGATACAGATGTTGGTGGTGTTGCTCATCTCCACTCCCTTCTTCTTCTTCTTCTTCTTCTTCTTAGAATGACTAATAAAGTAATAGAAACACAGACATTTTTAATGAATCTTAGATCCACTTAGACTGGGGAATTTTGTGTTTATGCTTAACAAAATATTGAGAATAGATGCAACAAACTGGGTCAAGGGAGAACTTATGAACTACAAGCATTTTTTTATATGATTTCCTTCCACAGTAATCATTCTCTTACACTAATATCAGATAATGCAACAACCAATAAAAAATGAGAACGTAATAACAATCAAGTTCATGCTTGATCACTCTTCTTATCTCGGGCATAAATGTGTGGTTGTCCTAAAAGTAAGAACTAGTTAGCTAAAAATAACAACAAATGTAGAGTTAGTAATGTGGTCTCTATAAGGTGTTGTATCTTTGAATCTATTGGACCCTACTGTGGTGCGGTTGAAATTACATGGTTTGAACCACACCTCAATCCCAAGGCTCAGTTTGGCAGGAGTACAAATACAAATATGTAGAGTGTAAAACCTTGTATTTCGTACAGTGTAAATACAAATACAAATATGTACAGTATAAATACATACAGAATAATACAAAATATAAGGTTTTGCACTCTACATATTTGTACTTGTACTCCTACCAAACTGAGACTAAGGTATTTTGCACTGTGGTGTGGATGTATGTACATTTCAGTCATTTATTACATTATATATGTTAATCACTCACCTTACCTTTGTGGAAGAGAAATTGTGATAGATTGCATTTCAAAACCATTCATAAATGGTTTCGGCCACATGCCCACACCCCTAAAAGAATGCTTTTTTATGGGTGTGGTGAGTTTTGCAACCAAGCAATCCAAAGAACATCTACCGTACAGAACACCCCCTTAATTACAACACATTTATGCAGAAAAATTAAAAGCCCAGAAGGAACAGAAGCTGAATCAGACGATTGTCCATTCTAATCATTAGGAACAATGAAATAGTGCCCCCACCCCACCCCAAAACGAAGAAAAAGAGAAGGGTATCCCAAAAATCCAGCAAACATCAAGAGATAATTACAGAAAACAATGAAATGAAACCCAGGAAATGGGAAATAATGTTTTGACAGATTTGTATAAAATTTACAATTTCAGGAGGATCAAATGCCTCAACAAAGACAGGTAAATTACGAGGAATATAGAAAGTGCAGTGCTGGCACCAACCCAACCCATTGAATCAAACTTGTGGAAATGGCAAGGTAAATTAAAACAACTTATTCATTCCTCACATCAACAGTAAGGAATTTTTTTAATAATCTCTTGTGCATGGGAACCACTGTTTACAGGCATCGAAAAACTAAGCTTCCTAAAAAAACCATTATATTTCAATTTACAGCCCTGCCAAATTGAGTAACAAGTGACCCATGAGATGACAGAAATGTAAAATGGGAAACTAGTCAAATTAATATGAAAAGTAGTAGTCTGACCTGTATGCTTTCCATCATGGAATTGAGTATTCTTACATGACTTAAAAGCTTCCAAGAATTGCCTTGCCTTCTGTAGCTCTTGCTTCTGCCTTGATTTGTCACGCTTGTGCTCAGCAGCCAATATTTGAATTACATGTGGCAAGCCTGCTGCATCAGTATCAAGAAAAGCAAGTCTGGATCTCCTAGCAATGAAATCCACAGCAGACTCACAGAACTCATGCCAAGCACAATATGCAACCTCTGCTTCTAAAAAAGGGTATCCATGGGCAAGTCGCTCACAAAGATTTTCATTCTGGAGATTCAAAAAAGAGAAAAGGGTAAATGAAACTAGGTCGTGAAAATCATTAGATCCCAAACTCCTGGATTATTAAGAGAGATAAACCCATTACTGACAAAAATTGTTTAACCCAAGAAAAGTGCAATTTTTCTTTTACCTCAGGAAAACAAAAATTAAGGTTAAGAACAAAACAAAACTGGACTAAAATTTGATGGGATGTATATTGAACTCAACAATTATTGTCTTGCTAAAATAGTACAACCCTTCTATACATGGCACTTTTACATGTAAAACTCAATTTATCATTGGAAATTCTAATGATAAAGTGCCAACATTTTTATGTAACTTGCACTTAAATTTATCATGACATAGTAAGCTATACTCAAAACTCTGGCAAACATATTATTGACATGTAGCAAACTATCCCTCCCTGTGAAGACCCATGAACCATCTCCTACTTGCTATTTTTCCATCTTTTTTCTGTCTATACAAGACTGGTCACTAAACAAGACCTGCCTAGAGCTAGATTTGACTGACCAAAATCCTTTTAGGGTTTTGTCATATTTTTGCCAATGAATTGCCAAGGTTTTGTCAAACTTTCAATTCAATAATGTTTCATTATCAAAAGAAAAGCAAAATACGACAAAACCCTAGCAAAACCCCAGCACCCCAAAAAAATAAATAAATAAAAATCTAGCAAGCACATTAGGTTCCATGCCTAATATTGTGGAAACATTAACCAATAAAGAAGAAAGGAAAAGGTAAAAGAAACAGTTTATGCTCCAATACTCAAGCACAACTAAAAACTGCTAGCACATTTAATATGCCAGACATGTTGACCATGGTAAAATGACTTCAGCGGAAATATATACATTAATAATAAAATTAGAACTTACTTGTACACTGGAGCAAAGGTATTAATCAGAGAAGAAGATGATTGAAGATCATATGCTTTAACACACAGATGGATAAAGGATGCCACATGAACAACCATATGGTTAGGGATGCAACTTGAGATGCATTGGATTTGGTTGTGGTATCTTGGCCTAACACGTAACCTCAACCCAAACCCTAACTGACCTGATTTTCGGCCCAGCATTCTTGATCCTAACCCAACCCAGTTATGATACTAAACTGGTTGGATTAAATCACACACCACGACATGCAAAGACACATATTATATACACAAGAATAATATACTAACAGTAGATAAATGTAATATTTTACAAACTACCTGACAGAACCCTTCTCTATCTTCCCCCTCATGTACAAACAAAGATTTAAAAGATATATGACTGAAAATATAACATTTTTTTTATATCTTTTGAAGCACAACGGGGGATAGCCTATCCCCCAACCCAGGTGCAGGTGGGATTCAATCCCAAGTGTCCACTACAACCAGCACGAGACCTTACCAACCATAATATAACATGTTATATTACGGTCGAATCAGGATATTTGATGCCTCAACCCTATCCTAACCTTTACCATTTTCCACCCATCCCAATAGATTGGGTTTGGGGCAAGCAGGTTTTAGAGCCAACGCAGGCCCAACCCTAACTAGGTCCTAACCCAACGCCCAGCTCCATATGAGGTAAAACCCAAGCTGGTTGATCAAAGTCCACCTGAATTAAATCCATGCAGAACTCGGTATGGGCTTGGACCTGAGTAGGTTGGTCAGGTTAATAATTCCATTTTGGCTCTGCAGTCCAATTTGGAAAATAAAATAAAATACATAAAACTATTACCACACACAAATTTACACATAATGCTCATGGTGCACGTCCATGTTCATACAGGGGCTTAGGCCTAATGCTGTATATAGTGTAAATATATTTTAGGAGTTCAACTAGTGTGCAAGTACATAATCTACATAGATATGCATGACCTAAATATGTATTGCACACATAAAGATAGTGGTCCATCTATCAGAAAATGTCACGTCTGCTCAAGTTGAGGCTCAATCCCAACTGTCAGGCCCAACTTTGCAGGCCTAAGACCAATCCTGAAGCCTGAAGATCTAAGAACAGCCCATACAGAAGTTCAGATCAGGCTTGCCCAAGTTCAACCCCTAGTTCAAGTTTAACTTTGAAAACCAGTTTATGTCCCTAGATACCTGTTTATGTTCCTCATGTGCATGGAAAACCAGTTTCAGTTGCCCATAGTCAAAGTTAAAGATAAAGACAGCTTCTTCCAAGTAGTGAACCCCTAGCAAAGTTTAGCAGAAATCAAGTACTGAAGGAAAAAAAGAAAACTCTATCCAAAAGAACTATATAAGGTCCAGTTTCTCTAAATTCTAAAGACTGTTAACTATCTCACTGCTACAGTAAAGTGCAAACTGTCGTGAAGCAGTAATTAGCCTCACAAGATAATCTGGGATGACACCCCAGAACTGATTAACTGAATATGCCGGCAAAAATTAGAACTACATCTAGTGAAAGATTTTCTAATTGATCAAACATGTGAACATGGAGAAAAAAAAAATTGTATAGCACCAGGAAATTTACTGATAGATAAAATCAATGATACCAAGACATGGTACTTACATGGACTATGGGTGCTTGAAATGAAGGTAAGACTCCATTTCCTAAAATCCTAGACACAGATGGTACAGGCATCTCATATAATATATCAATATGCTAATATTCTGCTTTTCTAACCAGTTTTTGAAGCTAAGTCTGTATTTGTTTCTATGTAAAATATTTCAGTGTTCATACTGAAATATTTCAACTATTGCTTCTGCCTCTTTTGTAACAAAAGTTTCATTTTCCACCCCTTCAAAGTTTGTTCTGATGTAAATGACAAGCAAAACAAAAGTTTTAATTGTAAAAGGGATGAAAATATATGACAAATATGTCAGCCTGAAAAAAAAAATCTATTTCATTTTTTTTACATTGAAACAAATACAGCCTAATGTGACTTTTCAAGGCTTATGTTTCACCGAATTTAACTAAATGCATAGTGTATACAGAATTTTTATAGTATAATTTGTTAAAACATAGCATAGCATTTATATATTTTTAAAGTTGACACTATTAAGTATATCTAGAATTGTCCATGCAGTAGACAGTGTTGAACTGAGTATTTCTCATGTTTCATATCAATACTCTATGCATGTACAGTTATCTTGGTAACATAGGATAAAATCACTGTGAGAATAACATGTGTAATATGTAGTCTAAGCTTTTAACTACTTGGAGCCTCTTATTGAGAAAAAAACTAATTGGAGCCTCAGAATGTTCCATAAGTCCATAATGTAAGTTTTCACTTTCCACATTGTTTAATGTGAAAAATGAATTCCCTGTCTGGGATCTTATGAATATGACTACACATGTACACAACTAAGGAAATCTGTGGTTATTCAACCAGTTCTGCCTTATAGATTCAACAATATGCTTCCAATCTATCATCTATGAAGCCATATATGGATTCAAATGTGAACACTTACATGGGAAATGAGGCATGATCCCTAGCTTCTCAAAATCCAGGACAAGGATAAGATATGATCTTTCAGTCCAATGTGCCAAGAACTTTTTATTTTATGCTTAGTTTTATAAATTAGCTACCTCTCTCAATACTTAGGGGTCATGTGATAGCAGCTGAAGTGGCTTAACTGAATGACTTATTGTTTTTTTTCTTTTAGTGAATAAATTAATTAAATAACAAAATATTCAAATGTATCATAACCAACCCAAGTTCAGCTTCAGCCATTAAGGAGCTCACAACGTCCGTAATAACTAATTCATTAAAAGACAAAGCAAAATCATTCAATTCAGATATTTCTTCTGTTATAAAAATCCCCTAATAACCCCTGGTATTCATGAAGTTCTAAAAGTGTGGTATCCATATTCTTGTTGAAATAACATTAAGGAATTAGGTGACAAAGCATTTCCTATGAAAATAAAACAAATATACTCTGATAGTATTAATGTTGTATATAGTGTCAGTACCAGTATTGTATTGATGCAGGACTGGAGGAGAAAGAAAAAGAAGGAAAAAGTTTATCCACAATTTGGAGAAATCTCAGAAAATGGGGGTTTTGACCATGGGTACACAGGTCCAGCTGCCCCCTAGAGGGACCTCTAATAGAAGGTGTGGCTGAAGCAGACCCCCCAAATATTCAGAACCTAAAGAGACACTCAGAACCTTCTAGCATCTTTAATGTGGGGGTTGTTTGGTCATTTTGGGTCAGTTTGAATCTGGGTTGATTTTTGTTTATTTTCTAGATTTGCTTTTAAGTGGGATCCACTAACCAAATAAAGTCAGCCTCTTAGGTTTTAAGCCTTTCTATTTCTTAAACCTTATGATCCTTTTGGAATCAGTTGGGTTCCTTTGGTGGATTGAGCTTATTCCTCAACTCATTCTCTCCGTCAAAGATGTAAAGAGACTGGGCTGAATGGGCCCTAGTATCTTTTCTTGTAGTATGTTTTATTTATTTGTTAGCTAATGGGCCTATCTTAATGGGCCTGTTATTCTTTTGCTAGTTCTCTTTATGTTACTGCCTAGCTGACCGCCCACTTAAGGATATCTTGTAATTATGTTCAGATTGAAGTTTAGTAAAAAGGATTAGAGAAGGGAGGGAAAAGATATTCAAACTCTTCTTCTTCTTCCTCCTCTTTTCTCCATCTTCCTTCTCCTGCATTGCTGTTCTCCTCTTTTCTTCCTCTTTTCTCTCTAATTTTTCCCAAGTTTACATCAGATTTAGAGGACTGATTTACATCTTGGTATCAGAGCAGGTTTCTTTCTTCCTTCTTTTCTTCTTTCTCTTTTCCCATACACCCTTCGATTAAAAGAGTGTATGGAGAGATAGGTTCTCTATAGTTCAGAGGATCTTTGGCCTAGTTGGTAGAGGGTTTGGAGAGTGTAAATCTGGCCGGATATTGCCAAGAAGTTGTGTTGTACTGTTTCTGCCCAAAACCCTAGCCGATTAGAGATTTTCGAAGTTACAAGTAAAAGTGAAGCTTTGGGTGTGGCGCTCTGTGCTTGGGAGGTGTCTTTTGACTCCTAAAAGAGGG